TGTTAGGTCCCTCCATTTGTGGAACAACATCACGACGCGCACCACAAATTGGAGGAAAAGCTCGGCCAAACACTTAACGAAAGTGTAAGCGCCAAAATATTATTATTATTATTTTTGATTTTTGATTTTTTTTTCATAGGAAGGGTAAATGCTTTATGCACTGGCCGGGGGCAATAGTCTATATACTACCTTCCCCGAGTGTGGGACTCCCGTGTTGGGCTACCCACTAAAACCCAAACTCCCACCGCCCGCGCAAGAGTCCCGCATCTGACACCGCAATTCTGCATGTCTTTAGATGCAGGAGCACGCTAATAGAGCCTCAGGGCTGCTCTTTTGTAGGGGCGTTTTATTCGGGCATCCTCAGTAGACATCCGTCTTCTCTAGGGTGATTCAAAATTGGAACTTTTTTGAATTTCGACTGAGAGCGTTCGGATTCTTGAGGATAAGAGAAAAGACAAGTTTCTTCTAAAATTTCAGCTTATTTGAACAAGATTTAGAGGTCGCTCAACGCTGTTGTATGTTTTCCGGAAACTACAGATTTTAGATGCATCTTTCTTAACAAATAGGTATATTTTCATCAAATCTTATCGGACTTCGTTGAAATTTCGTAGGTAGGTTCCAAAATATTAGCCTATTGCAACTCAGTTTATATAAGTTCGATATATTACTTTTACACACACTTATTAATTAGTTAGTATTTAAGTTTTGCCTAATAAAAAATTAATATTTGCATTATTTTTTTTTGTTCCTTAGCCACTGAGCGTATGCTTAATACACCTAAGATCACATTTTAATTCATATAATTAGTGGACCTCATCAATTAATATTATTAAACATCAAATAAAAAAATCACCAGATAAATATCACTCATATGCCATGCTGAATCCAAATATTTTTCTAGTCATTTCAAATATTTATAGTATAATAATAATATTTTGGCGCCAAGTTTTTGGCCAAGCCTCTCTTCCAATTTGTGGTGCGTGTCTTGATGTTTCACAAAAAGGCGGGGAGAAGCAGCAGTGTTGAGCGTTAACCAATTACTTTTTCAATCATTTTGTTAATATATTAATAAAGTAATTGCAGTTAAATTAATTGCAATTAAAATTTTAATTCCGCATTGCAAATAAATTAATTGCAATTAAACAATTAGTTGGGTATTGCACACGGCAAATAATTTAATTGCAATTACTTGTTAACAATTAGCCTACTTATACTGGATTTCCACTAGGCATTAAATGGCAAATGACAAAGTTGGGCGTTAAAAAATTATCGTGCTTTTATGTGTAAAAAATAGTCATTAAGTTCATTTTCACATGGCATTTTTTAAATATCATGCATTTTTTGCTATTTCAAAGCCTAGTGGAAATTCGGCATTATAAATAAAAAGAAAAATACGGCACAGGCCTGGGTTGTGGGTGGTTATCATAGTCACATCCCTGGCCTATATAGTAGGCATTTATAATCGTCGATTTTTAATAAAATTTGCAAACCAATTACAAAATTTTTAATTCTTAACTGAAGAATATCGCCGTTATTCTCCACAACAAATAATTAATTGTTAATTGTTATTCTCCACAATTACAATTAATCAATTGTTAGTAGTGATAGTAGTAGTGATAGAAATTAACAATTAATTAATAAAATAATTGTTCTTGCAATTCAAATTTGCCCAACACTGCGCGGAGGAACAACCGCTGTTAAGAAAGATCTTGTTTTTAAAAGTTTCCGTTAAGGTTGCTTGGACCAGGGATTGAGCCCAGGTATTATGGAGAGGTGGTACATACCTCAAACCACTCTACTACAGCGGCCGCACAAGCAAATATTAATAACAGCTGAAATAAATAACTTGTTTTTTCGTACATATTGTGAAAAATGTATGTGCTAAGTTCTGAAAATATTTACTTAGCAATAAATCTTATATCATACCACAACAAGATAATTGAAAAATTAATTGATTAAAGCCCAACACTGCATCCGTGTGTATTTCTGCATTGAAAATGCTTCTCACAAAATCCATTCACTGTTCGTAGGCGGCGTAAAACTGTAGGTCCATCGACTTTTTGTGACAACATCAAGACACACACCTCAAATTGGAAGAGAAGCTTTGCCAAACACTTAGCAAAGGAGTAAGAGCCAAAATATTATTATTATACTATAAATATTTGCAATGACTAGGAAAATACTTGGATTCAGAATGGCATATGAGTGATATTTATCTGGTGATTTTTTTAATTTGATGTTTAATAACATTAATTGATGAGGTCCACTAATTATATGAATTAAAATGTGATCTTAGGTGTATTAAGCATACACCTAGCATACAGTGGCTAAGGAACAAAAAAAAATAATGCAAATATTAATTTTTTATTAGGCAAAACTTAGTTACTAACTAATTAATAAGTGTGTTTAAAACTAATATATCGAACTCATATAAACTGAGTTCCAATAAGCTAATATTTTGAAACCTACCTATGAAATTTCAACGAAGTCCGACAAGATTTGATAAAAATATACCTATTTGTTAATAAAGATGCATCTAAAATCTGTAGTTTCCGGAAAACAAACAACAGCGTTGAGCGACCTCTAAATCTTGTTCAAATAAGCTGAAATTTTAGTAGGAACTTTTCTTCCCTCTTATCTTCACGAATCCGAACGTTCTCAGTCAAAATTCAAAAAAGTTCCAATTTTGAATCACCCTAGTCTTCTCGTCTACCCTGCCCATTCTATGAAGATATTCTCGGAAGTAACCATCCCCGTGCGGTTTGTTCAACCATGTTTGAAGGTCAACTATCAGGGTGTGCGTCCATCGACCTTTTGTGCTCCAGTTTTGTTGCCACTGCTGGGTTAACTGCTCGGCCTATCTCGGCACTGATATTGTAAATCTCTTTTCGCTCGTAAGCAAGTAGCTCAATTGGCAAGACGCCAGAAATAACTAGAACCGCGTCCGCGGACACTGTTCGGTATGCAGAAGCCATGAAGAAGTAGTGCCCCTCTGCGCTGGACCGAAGACATATGAATCAGGTATTTTTTGACTTTTAATGCGTCGGCCCATATTTCTGCCCCGTACAGGAGCACCGACTAGACTGCTGTCATCAAAAGTTTCCTACGGCATAGCTTCGGGCCGCCCACGTTCGCCATCAGCCGGCTTAGAGCCACCGTGCTCTGCGCAGCTTTTTCACATACTCCATGGATGTGTGCCCAGAATGTGAGTTTGCTGTCAAGCTTCACCCCTAGGTATTTTGTAGACCTAGAAGTTGTCACGGGCTGAGGTCCGACCATCATGTTTATAATTGTTGGGATCCGTTTCTTGGTGAGGAGCACGATCTCTGTTTTGGATGTAGCCAATTGTAGACCGTGATCGCTCATCCATCCACTGACGCTGCGCATTACCTGGTTCAGCTTGAGCTGCGCTAGCTGGATGTTTCTTGCTGTTATGACGGCGGTCACGTCGTCTGCGAAAGCGACAAGGAAGGCGGTCTCCGGCATTTCCGTGCGCAACAGACTGTCATACGTGGCCTTCTAGAGGTCCGGGCCAAGTACAGACCCCTATGCCGCTCCGCCGGTTGTACGTCTTTTTCTCTGACCTTGTGTTGTGTCGTAAAAAAGCCAACGGTCTCTGAGGTAATCCCGAATCATATCTAGTAAATATGCTGGAACTTTGAATGACCGTTCCAAGGCCTCCAGCAGTCGTCCCATCTTGCCGAGATGACTAGCTTCTTCGGCTTTATGTACCGCCTCGACTAATTCGCTAATTACTCCTATAGTTAAGTGTCCCGTCCTGAAGCCATGTTCTCGGGGTGAAAGGCCTCCCTCATTTTCTGTGGCTGACTCCAAGCGTATTTTTAAGTCATCTTGCCTGTTGTGTCTAGCATGCAGAGTGGCCGGAACGATGAAGGAGAGTTTGTGTCTCCTTTGCCCTTGAGTATAAGCACCAGCCTAGATTTCTTCCATGGGCTTGGGAGGACCCGGGCCCTAAGGAAGCTGTTGTACATGTTAAGCAGGAGATCAGGGCTTGTTTTCGCTGCTAACCTGATTGCATCCGCTGATATGCCATCGGGATCTGGAACCTTGCCGGCTTTCATGCTTCGCAGGGCTAACTTCAGCTCGTCTGCCGAAAACAGTGATGCCTCGGCTTGCTCCTCGACGAACAATGTATCTTCTCTTAGTGGGTGTGCGGGAAATAGTGAATCCTCTATATTCTTAACTCGGACCTTATCTATCGCTTGCAATGGTTTATGGAACTTTTTAATGACTATTTTGTATCCCAGGCCCCAGGGATCATAATCCACTTCGTCATATAACTCTTTCCTTAACTCTTCTGTATCTCGGCCCCAAATGCTTTCTTAGCGCAGTTGTTGGCTGCTGCTCTGGTCAGCGGCTCAGATCTGCCACGAGCGCACGTTGCGAGTCTGCGCATTCTATGGCAGGACCTTCGCAGCTCTGCAATTCGGTCATTCCACCACTACACTTGGTTTTTACCAGACTATGCTCTCCTCTTTGCATGCCCGGTGTATGCAGCACATGGTTTCTCCGACCAGCTTAGCACAAGACTCCCTGTTGTGGATCTCTCCCGTTGTGGGTGAAATGCCGTGGGAATCTGCTGGGAGTAATGTGTCGACTTGCGAACATCGACCCTAGACGGGTTCCCTCCTGGTTTCCTGCGAAGGATGCTACGTGTTTGCCCTCGCGTTGTGTCAGTGACTTGGAAAGTGATGTAGTTATGGTCGCTACCAGTCAGGTCTTCCATCACTCTCACCGTCAGCCCTTCGAAGAAGGCTTTCTGAAAACAGGGTTATGTCAGGGATCGAGTATCCAAAACCCGGCCTTCGATATGTATATTTGTACCCATATCCCAGACAACAAAAACACCTTTGAACATCCGCGCGCTCTCGGATACGGCAGCTAATCCAACCTACTCGCAACTTTTCAATAAGAGTCCGGCCTGGCAGTTGGTCGATTTCCACCACAGCCATTCTTTGTTCTCGCTAGTTAACAACGAGGATAGAGACGCAAAGTTGGACATTCATCTTGTCTCCTAATTCCCAGCGAATAGCGTTCTGCACTTCTGGGACCGTGTTTAGGCAGTCCATGTCGAGAACTTCTAGACGTAAATGTCTAGTGAGGATACGGGCGTCTCCAAGCCAATGGCAGTGCACGCATTTTCCTTAAATTCTGAGTGGTCGCCACAGCGCTCCATCTCGATAAGCACGCCGACTTATTTTTATTTTTATTTTTATTATTGTTTATTAATTTTGTTCAATTAAAATAAATATAAATCAAGTGAACTAATTCTACAAAATTAAGTATAACAAAATAAAGTTAAATTAAATAAATTAACATAAAATAAAGTGAAATGAAATAAAATAAAACAAAATAAAAAAACGAAATGGATAAAATCAGTAAGTAAAGTATGTAAAATGAAGTGAAATACAATTCGGTGAGCGCTTACAATTTTTAAGTAGTTTGTACTTGAGCTAATTAAGATTTCGGAGTGCTTAAGATTTCTTTAATGCTTTTTTTAAATATCTGTGTATGTTAAATTAAAATGCTTCTTGGTTTTTTTTCTATATTTTAAGATTTTTAATAATTTGCATGAAAAGAACTTTCAAAAAGTAATCAGAAAGTTTTAGCCAAATCTTAAGGTTTTAGTGCTTTGTTCACTTTAAGAAAAATATCGGAACGGAAATACGGGCATTTACCTTGCATGAAAAGTACACAACTTTGTATTTATACATGTATATTTTTTCTTTAATATTTAAAAATATCATATTCTGATAAAATGGGCACTCGGTTATAATGGACAAGATGACACGGTCCCGTGGAGTCCATTATAACCAGATTGCGCTGTATTCACAAAAAGGTTATTAGAAATTCTAATATACATATGATCGATTCCACAGGAAAGTAAACCAGCCCAATTTTTTCTTTCTTTCAAATATTGTACATATTGGTGATTATTGGTATTCACTATATATGTCAGCTGCTTCTGACACTAATTCTTATGTCCAAGCATTTTGCGTTTAATGTTTTGCTCCTTTTGGCGAAGAATTTTTCACAAACCTAAAAACAGTTTTCGGTACTTCAACAAGGAAAAGTACAAAGATATAAGCTTTTCTTAATTTATGTTGGCCGATTAAGTTCTGAACGATAGAATATAAATTAGTTTAACAGGATACGCTCCAAGTTAGCGAAAAAGTTTTTTAGAACTCCTATTAAGTCGTAATCAAATGTACCACAAATGCTAAGTGTAACGTAGCCAGTGAAAAACTAAAAAAGTAGTTTTTTGGATAATTAAGTACCCTTTCCAAAGGATATATTTATAACATGTTTTCTTAGTATTGTCGATATCATACTGATTCCATATGGATGAAAAAAAGAAACCATAGCTGACTTCGTTGCACAATTACCTAATAAATAAGTGTAACTTGGCCAGTGCTTTTCTTTTTATTTGAAACTTTTTTATTGACTTGATAATTATTCTCATTTCATTTTAGCAATAAATAATAACACATATTTAAGAAAGTATTTTCATGAACAATTGCGAATTGAGCATTATACTGCTAAATTTTAATAACTATTCTATTGAAATAAAGCGAAACTATCTTTTTTAAAATATCCTTTGCAATCTTTATCTCTTAAGGTTTTGACTATATATTTGCCTATAATTCAATTAGATTTTTTGCAACATATAAAACTGATAAGTTATCTGCCCATTACACGTGATTGTGCACATAACACTACAATTTTATAGAATCTGATACAAGTCTACACCAGACTATGAAGAGTATATAAATCTATTTATTTTGTTAAAAATGGTTTAGGTTAGAACTTTTCTATACAACTGCGATAAATGCATTGACTTTTTTTTTATTTAAGATTACACATTTTTTTATTTAAGATTAGATGAGCTTTTGCACAATTTAAGTTATTAAACATAAGTGGTTTTAGTAGTAAAGTTAAATAAATATTATTTTCGATGATAACAAGATTGTTCAGTAAAAAATTTTAGTTTAGGATGATTTTTGACCTAGTTAGAATTTTTAAGGATAATCGAGTTTTATTTTTTAATCCTGCAATAGAAGATCCCAGATTCGTTAAACCTTGCCCAAGCGAACCGTACGTGTAACGTGGCCAGTGTTTTGTGTAACGTTGCCAGTGCCCAAATTTTATTAGCAACAAGTAAGAGCAGCGCTGTCTTCGGCTATGCCGAAGGCTTCATACCTTTCATGAACATCTGCAAATTTTACTTTGACAGATTACTGCTTTTGAATACATCTGCATACATCGATAGAGGAGTTACATACTTATATAAAAAAGCGCATCTAAACAATCATAGGTATGGAAGACATACCTTATATTAGCACCAATCTAAGTGATTTTTTGTGTGTTTAATTTGGGCCAAGTTCCTATCTAGTTGTTTGCTGGGTTAGAGCTGTTTCGGCCGTTGAGTTAAAAGCGAAATAAAATTTCCTTTGTACTCCTACGCGTTTCGACGCATTTCGCGCCTTCCTCAGGGAGTCTGTTTTTTTTTTTTTTTTATTAGAACGACAAACAATAAACATGAAATACAATATTTTGAACTTTACATTTAACATATAACTCACATTTAACAATAATAACATTTACATATATCACAGGAAAAATTTTTTGTGTACATTAACACCCATCAATTGTTTGTTTGTTTCTGCTTTCGCTGGCGTTCATTCCTACTTTGGATAACAGCTGTGTAAGCGCTGTTTGTGCTGTCCACGTCTTCTTTGAAATTCATCGTGTTGTTAAGCTGCTGCTGTATGCGGAGACTTTCCAGTGTCATTCGTCTTCTTTCTCTTCTTTCTACATCTAAGATCATTGTATTCGCGAAGTCAGCTGTGTGTTCGTTGTTAGTCAGGTGTTGAGCCAATGCTGTTGTCATCTTTTTGTTTTTTGCATCCATTTCGTGCTCGTGGATTCTTATGCTTAGCGCTCTTTTCGTAGTGCCAATGTAGCATTTATTGCAGCTTTCGTTTCCTTTGCCTTTGCAATTTATTTGATACACTAAATTGTTTTGTTGTTCCTTCTGAACTTTGTCTTTTGTTTTTGTAAAGATTCTATGCAGTGTATTATGAGGTTTGTGAGCGTATCTAATTTTCTCATTTTCAATCATTCTATGNAGCTAGTTTTTTACCGTTCTTGGTGTACTGTTTGATAGTGTAACATGTTTCGTCGTCGTATTTTAGTTTAATATGTTGATAAAAATGCTTCATGCTTATTGCTTGATTATTTTTTGTTGCTTCGGGTTTGCTCGCCGATTTTGAATTTTTTGTGTGTTTAATTTGGGCCAAGTTCCTATCTAGTTGTTTGCTGGGTTAGAGCTGTTTCGGCCGTTGAGTTAAAAGCGAAATAAATTTCCTTTGTACTCCTACGCGTTTCGACGCATTTCGCGCCTTCCTCAGGGAGTCTGATTTTCACTGCTATGTGATCGGTATGTAAACCTGTAACACAATTTATTGGGTTTAGTTTCCTACATAAAGGAGATATATCGCAATCTGGTATCTGAGCAATCAGTGCTATAGGAGATAAAGCTTATACAGCATAGATTTTGACGATTTTCGCAGTAGACTTTGTATTATTATTTATAAAATATCTTACGAAATCTATCGGTTTTAGCTGTTCAAATAAAGGAGTTTTACAGTAAAATCCCATATCGGAACAATCAGATGTATGGAAGATACATATATGTTATAGTCACCCGATCCTTGTTATTTTCACTATAAGTATTCTGTTAATAATGGGTGCAAGTACTGCAAAATTTCATGTTCCTAGCTGCATAAATGGAGAAGTTATAATGAAAAATCTCATATCTGAACAATCAGTTGTATGGGAGCTATGTGTTATAGTGGTCCGATTCTTCCGGTTCCGTCAAATGATTAATACATTATAAAAATACACCCATCTACCAAATTTTATCCGGATATCTCGAAAACTGAGAGACTAGATTGCATACAAACAGACGGACAGACGGACATGGCTAAATCGACTCAGCTCGACGTTCTGATCATTTAAGTATACATTTTAATGGGTCTATCTTTTTTTATTCTGGTACTTACAAACATCGGACCAAAGTTATAATACCATTGTATGCTCATGAAAGGTATAAAAATTGGCAAAAACCTAAAATTTACAAAAATTGGGTAAGCAGATGACCACTTGCTAGTGTTGGAGAATTATCGATAGTGTATACATTCGATTGTTTCGATAGTGATAGTGCAAAATATACTATCGATACTATCGAAAGCTTTCTTACATATGTTGAGATATAACACTAATGTCCTGTTTTACCAACCGATTTCAAAATGTATCAAACTTAAAATTTAAAATAGCACAATCTCCTAAAAAATTTTGTCACTTTAAATTTTAACGGCCCGAAAAATTTAAAATTGATTGGTAAAACTGGGCACAACATTTTGTAAATATGCCTAAGCCATTTTTTATGGTCCTAGAAAAATTTGGCAAGTGATATGACAGATTCCATCGCCTGTAAATTTCTTCGTTTCTTCTTTTACTATATAAGACAACAACAGCCAGGAAGAAATCTTATTCTTAAATAGCCCTTTTCGTAACTACAAAAGCCATAAAAATTATTTGTTTACACAAAAATAACTAGTGTAAAACAAAATGAGATCGTGTATGTATTTCAATAACACAGTTTATAACAAAAACCATGAAGAACATGTTTACAAACAAAGGAGTTCACAACATACATATAACTATATGTAGGCATGTGCATCTTTTATAGTCCAATTCCAACAATGTGAACAACATACAACTATTGATAGTGTTTAGAAAAATTCGATAGTGGCGGCAAAATGAAACTATCGATACTATCGATAGCACTATCGATAGTTTTCCATCACTACCACCTGCATTCATTGTAGATGACATACTGAAAAGCTAGCAATATTCGCTTACCCGTTTCGCAGAAATTTCAAACTTTCTGACACAGCCCATCATTAAACTTCCAAATAGTGTAACGTAGCCAGTGCACATTCGAATACCTATAACTTTGAAACGCAAGGATTTATTAAAACCTTTCTTTTACAGATACATAGATTTGACCGTGCNTACCCGTTTCGCAGAAATTTCAAACTTTCTGACACAGCCCATCATTAAACTTCCAAATAGTGTAACGTAGCCAGTGCACATTCGAATACCTATAACTTTGAAACGCAAGGATTTATTAAAACCTTTCTTTTACAGATACATAGATTTGACCGTGCCTGATCATATCACCTAAAAAGCCCAGTTGGTTTTGTGTTATTTAGTGGACAATTGATTCATATTTTAGAAAAAATGTGTACGAATGTAACGTAGCCAGTCAAATATTCGGCCATATGTAAAATTGTACTTTTACGTAAACATGCAAATATAGCACGGTCATTTCCATGCTTTGCAAAACTTGGCAAAGTCTCAGTATATAGTAAAAACAACAATACACCGAGACGGGCACACTTCTCAGAGTCCAAATTATTAGGAGGGTTCGAACACCTCGGGACGGCCCTGCCTTCAGTTTATCATTAAATTCATAAGTGGGAAAATTTATTTTCAGCAGACCTTCCGTCACAGCTGAAATACAATTTTGAATGTAACTTGCCTTTAGTACTAGTTCGGATAGGAATTCAATTGAAATTGAATAAGAACTTATTTAAATTAGTACGGAGAATGCACAAACGCCGACGAGATAAATGTCCGGCTAGTTTTGCCTCTTCATTCTCTGTATTCTACGGTCTCTTAGCAAACAAGTAAGCAAACACAGCCCTCGAATTTGGCTGAGATTTCTTGTAATGTAAATTTTATTAGGAATGTTAAAATATAGATATTAAATTTTTTTTAATAATTTACCTCATTAATTTTTCTCTTTTTAACTGACTTCAGAAAAAGGAGGAGGTTATCAATTCATCGGAATATTTTTTTTTTGTATGTTACCGCACAACTTTGGACCACATTAACCGATTTCGATAATTATTTTTCTACCGGAAAGGCGGTGCCTCAGGGGAGGTCCCATACTTATTGGATCATGAAGAAATTAACGGTACTCTAAATTTGTATATGAGAATTGAAGTCGGTTGTGTTACTTGTTATTTTAACAATTGAATTGTACCGAAGCCTACAAAGGAATTAATATTGCATGAAGTTTATTATGAGCTTATTTAACAGTTAAAATAAAAATTCGTTTGTTACCTTAATTGCATGCAAATTTGAAAATGTGACTCCGTCTTAACACCAAAATCATTATTTTTAGTCGACTTCAAAAAAGGAGGAGGTTGTCTATTGTTTCGTTCTTTCTTTCTTTTTTTCTTTCTTTCTATCTATCTTTCTTTCTTTCTTTCTTTATTAAGTCAATGACACAATACATATGTATGTACGTACGTTCTTACTGACTAGCCATTTAATACATTTAGAAAATTTTATGAGTAAATATAAATTAAGTACTTAACATAAGTAAGAAGATAACACGTTCTTAAAAGCAGAGCGACTAAATGAAAAATCTAACGAATTAATATTATCCAAAGCATTAAACTCAATTAATGATCTAGTGATTGGTCCATATTGGATACGACATTTTGAATTTTAAAAAGTTGCATCCAGAATCTTAAATAACAATAATAGGGGTATTCTCGATCCGGTGCATACTGTCTAGCATGGTGCATAGATAGCCTAAATAACATGATTGGCTAATTTTGTTATTGTTTGAACACATGAATCGCTTACACATATGTATGTTAGTGTTTGGCCGAGCTTCTGCTCCGATTTGTAGCGTTCACTTTGATATTGTCACAAAAAGGGGAGGGACCTACAGTTTTACGTCGACCCCGAACGGCGATTTTATTTTTATGAGAACCATCCGTGGGTCATTGCCATACAAATTCGTTACTCATTAATTTGTTATTATGAAACAATCTAAGGTTAAACCGATAACTTTTCGGTGTCCAACCTAGTTTAATCGATTTTTTTTGTGAAGAAAAGGGGAAGTGTCTAATGTGAAAGCAAACAACTATGAACGCTATTACGGAAAATAGGCTTATAAAGGTAGCTTTAATAAAATATTAAATTAAAATATTATTTTGTGGTGGTAGAAACGAAAATTCAACAAGTAATTTTTAAGAGAAAAAAACAATCGACTTCAATTCTCATATAAAAATTTAGGAGTTAATTCCTTCATGATCCTACTATCGGATCTAAGCCAAATTAGTGTGGGGCCACCTCGGAGAAAAAGAATTATCGGTTGACGTGGTCCAAAGTTATACGGCAACATACATAAAGAGGAAATATTTTGACGAATGGATAACCTTCTCCTCTTTTAGAAGTCGGTTAAAAACAGCATTACACGATCAAAATACCACCAACAAAAGAATCGGTATAGCTTTAGGTATAGTGATTGATGGCAAGCATCAAGAGCGTCTGAGAATGGGTATTCATCAAACCTAGTAAATGCATTATAAACTGCGTAAAGTTATAATTGTGTAAACTTTGCAAAACAGTCAAAATTTATATGGAAACTCGTTTACACATTTCTGATAAATTTCTCTAACGATTTCACTGAATAATCTTGATAAACTGAAGCCAATGTAACTGCGTCCCAAGTGTAAATGAAATAGAGTATGGGGCGTTCATGTAACAGAGCTCTTAAATTTATAACAATATATGCTTGATAAAGTTATCGGTTAAGATGAATAACACTAATATTAATTTAAATATGTTTCAGTACTGTAACGCTAAAATATTAGCATGTCATGATAGTTGAAATTTCTAATTACGTTTGGTCAAAGGCGGACATTTAAAAGTAGCATCCGGTGCCCACGAATTTTCAAGGAGTTCGTAATTGTCGTTATCGCTTACTTTACGGCGACAAAAATTTGACACATCATTAAGCGGAACCTGCAAGAACGTGAATATGTAATATCGGTCGCAAGGAATTTAAACGCTGATTTTCGGATGCAGAGGGCTGTGAAATTAACGGCATCTTGGAAACAATGGTGGTCAAATTTTTTTTTAAACTTAGAGATGGGACCATTTTGGCATTAACCAAGCTACGCCTAATCTATTTTATCTATCTCATCATTATATATTGGGAACTGAGGGACTCGCTGACCCTAAAATAAGGTACAGTAAGGTCCTCAGCATCGGAGCGTCTTAATTTTTTCGCTACTTGATATTTGTCAGGTGAACTTTCGGCTGTCACTGTAGTTTGTGCAAATTCGGCAGCCGGACGGGCAGAATTTTTAGGTTTAAAAAAGTTCGTTATTTTTACAGAATGTATTTGGAACGTAGCACTGTTTGTTTGTTTGTGTTGATTCATGGGCATTGAAAATAGACTTTTCTCCCAAATAGGTAAATTAATTGTATCTCAAAATATGGATCAGTAAACCGCGTTCACTTGAAACTCTAATTCAGTGATTCCCGAACTGGTCCAGGTGGACCCCCAGGGGTTGAAAAATATATGGGGGTCCACGAAAATTTATCTGGTTTCAATAGTAAAGAACCAAAATGATTGCTTTATTGCCTCTTTATTTAACTTTAATTTTTTTGATTGGTGTATAGTGCTCTTGACGCACTGCTGCACTTACCGTCAGTTTATGTTTTCAAACGTGGGAAAGGCCACCACTATTACCTGTGTTGAAGAGATTCTATAATGTTGAGTTCCCTGAGACTGAATGTTGGTTTAATTCCATCACTGAGACCGGGCTCACATATTGTTTAATCTTCACTGATGGCTCCAAAACTGACTCTGGGTCATGATCTGGGGTCCTTTTCGCTTCATTTCTCCCTTGCATCGGTCTTCCAGGTTGAGGGAATTACAATCCTCAAAAACATGGAACATAGGTGGAGGGGAAGGAGTTTACGTGTCTGCAGTGACTACCAAGCTCCACTTAAGGTAATGCAAGTCTCAATTAAATTATAGTGGCGAACTAACGAGCTTGCTTTACTCTGGGTGCCAGGTCACTCAGGAGTACCTGGTAATGAGACATCTGACCATTTGGCCAGAATTGGCTCAGACCAGGCATTCCTCGGTCCGCAGCCAGTTTTAGCACAGCCACTTTCGGCCATCGAAGCAACTGGGTGAATACTTCGCTCAGCAATGACTGGAAGGCATCGAGGGGAGGCAGGTGGGCAAAACTTATGTTGCCTTCAGTCTCAGAAGGTCTATCTAGTGTTTTGGTCTCACTGAGCTGACGACACTGCAGACATCTTGTTGGACTGCTGACTGGTCACTTCAAATAGCACAAACACCTGACTGTGATAGGCGTAAATGACAAGTCCATTTGCCCATCCTCCCTTGAAGAGGATGAGCCGGTGGAACACTTTTTGTGCTTCTTGCTTGCTTTGTTGTTCGTCATCGTTTTTTCTATACTCGTTCTTTTCTCTATTGTCAGTTTCTGAATTAAAAGTTTGGCGTAAAAAGCTTAGCCGTTTTGTTGTTTTAAGTTTTGTGTTTAAAGAATGTGAGTGATAAATATCTTTCGCTTCAATTTAAAACTTGGAGCGATAAAAATAAAAATGATGCCATCCATAATACAATTATTACAGGTATTGTCTTCCAAGGGAGTTTTGCTTCACATCAAAATTCGTGCTACCTTATTTTCAATTTGACGTTAGAACCCCCAAAACCCCTACCTGCGTTCGCCCCTGGTATGTACTTAAAAAGGATTCGAAGATTTAATTTGCCAGCTTCGAATTCGTTCCACCCAAATGAGCTACATAATAAAAATACAAGTTCAACTAATTTTTTCGGTATTCGAAATATTAAAAAAACAAGTAAAGAAGTATTAGCCCAGTAAAATTAGATAAATGTGTTAAGAAAATTAAAAAAAAAAAATTGTAACAGCGATTTTTTGATGCAGTTTACTTCTATTTGACACGTAGATCATGGATCCACGGTTTTGCTCCTAAATTTCATTTGGCAACATTCCGCCATCTTGGATTTAAGTTTTTTTAGGTGTTTTGCGATTTGCAAGCATATTTTGCATTTTTCATAAAAAATGGTTTAATACTAATCTGTAGAGAATTTAATTTCCCATGTTTGTCATATAGAATGTTTTTTTAAAATAGCATTTTTTATTGTAAATAATTTGCAAAAACTGCGAAAAAAATTTACATTGTCACGGTTTTCGCCATTTTTGACAATTTCTGTTGAAAACACATAGCATATTGAAATTTCAAAGTTGTAGAGAATTTGAGTCTTCACAACTTTTATACCTACATTTTTTTTTACGACGCTTAGATCACGGCCGGGAACGTGCCAAACATAGCGATTAGCCCAGTACAATTAGATAAATTTGGTAGGAAAATTAAAAGAAATTTGTAACAGCGATTTTTTGATGCAGTTTACTTCTATTTGACACGTAGATTACGGATCCACAGTCTAGCCCCTAAATTTCATTTGGCAACATTCCGCCATCTTGGATTTAAGTTTTTTTAGGTTTTTTGCGATTTGCAAGCATATTTTGCATTTTTTATAAAAAATGGTTTAATACAAATCTGTAGAGAATTTAATTTCCCACATTTGTCATAAAGAAGATTTTTTTTGAGTCTTCACAACTTTTATACCAACATTTTTTTTTTTACGACGCTTAGATCACGGCCGGGAACGTGCCAAACATAGCAATGTAAGGGAAGCGGCGTAAAATTCATTTCCATATAACGTCAACCGGTACAGTACGATGGACAAAATTTTATAGGACGGATTACAACGATTACGGTCTTAAAATGATCACATAGACGCCCTACATTAAAAACAGTGTGGGCTTTTCAAAAAGTCAACATGGCGTCTCAAATATGGCGTCTAAACTAACCGTAAATTAGATTTTGCTTTACAACTTTTGTGCCACCGGAGAACCCAACACTAAAAATTAAAAAGTAACAGTAGGTTCTTATGTTTTTGAGGTTGCTGATTGCGAACCTAGAGCATGATTTTATAAATTCATAATGGCGAACCCAATATGGCGGCCAAAAAATTAAAGTCGATCCGATTCGTTTGTAAAGTTTTCCTCTGGGGTTCTTGGGGCTGCTTATTACGAATCTGAGGTCAGGTTGGAAAAATTCAAAATGGCGGACCCAATATGGCGAGAAAAAATTTAAATCGATTAGATTCGCCTAAAACTTTACAATCGAGTGTTCTTAAGGTCTCTGATTACGAATCTGAAATCAGATTTGAAAAATTAAAATGGCGGATCAGTTTGAAAACGCTGGTAATCTTCTGTGGGTGTGTATATCACTGAGCTCTTCCTAAGCGGCTGGACCCATGTTTTTGAGTGGATTTCTGGATGGATTATATTCACAACTGGGTCCGATAGTTGACACTACGGTTGAGTTTTGGGTTTTGATGTTCATTTTCATCTGTTTGCATACCGTATATCAAAACATATAACCCCCAAATTTAAACTAACTAGGGCTGGGAGTTCTATCCAAATTTTTTGTGTATCCGAATACACGAATTGTTTCAGATGTACAACTAACCCACCACCCTGATTTAATTTCGAAACAAAATCATTAGTTAATGAAGAATCGAACACTTAAACCTTCTTAAAATAATTCTCATAATTGTTTTTTATATCATAGTAAGCGCTGATTTCAAATTATGTTGTATTTGACCCATCAATGAACATATGTGCGAGTAACTTAAATCGTATAGGCGTTTCGATACATAAATTTATATTCGTAGTGTCTCTATATAAATGCGTTCTTATTTAGTGTATGTCCTTCGGGTGTCTTATATAAATAATTAAAATAAACTATTTGGTAACCATTTTGGTACAAAAGTCGTGGAGAATGAAGTTCTCTACAACTTTGGAATTTCAATATGCTATCTATTTTCAACAGAAATTGTCAAAAAATGGTGAAAACCGTGACAATGTAAATTTTTTTCGCAGTTTTTGCAAGTTATTTACAATAAAAAATGCTATTTTTAAAAAACCTTCTATACGATAAATGTGGGAAATTAAATTCTCTACAGATTTATATTTAACGATTTTTTATGAAAAATGCTTGCAAATCGCAAAAAACCCCAAGAAACTTAAATCCAAGATGGCGGAATATTGCCAAATGAAATTTAGGGGCAAGACTGTGGATCCGTGATCTACGTGTCAAATAGAAGTAAACTGCATCAAAAAATCGCTGTTACAAATTTTTTTTGAGAAAAAGTCGCTTTTTACTGGGCTATATAAATTCGGGTGAAACCGAATTTTATATACCCGGCGCAGGCAAATATCATCGTTTCAACTTTCTCTCAACTACCTTTGCATGATAAGGAGGGTGTTAATTCCGATTTCAAACGTTTTCGATAATAAGCTGACTTAATGAAATCATTGAACCAAGTTTGGTAGAAATCAATAAATCGGTTACCGAGATAGACCTTTGTAGTCATAAAGTGGGCGGTGCCACGATGTAAATTACCGTTATATAGGAGGTGGGCGTGTTTAATGCCCGACAGAGCCTTATCAGCAGCAGTTAAAAAGCAGTCCTTACGATCAAGGGAAGAAGGAGGGTGGGTAGAATTAGATGATTTTTTTTCAGCGATTGCTTCTTTACCCCCGCCCAGCAGTTAGCAGTTTTATCGTGTCGTTTTTTTGGCAAAGGCTTTTTTGCATATACAGGAGAGCAGAATGCATGCTTTCAGCTTTGTTTACCATCTTACTTTTACTTTCAAAAGCAACACTAATAGCAGAACGTACATAGGTCTTTAACCCGTGTTGTTAGCAGATTTATCATGTCGTCTTTTTCGCAAAGATTTTTCTGCATAGACAGGAGATCAGAATGCATTCTTTCCGCTTTGTTTACCAGTTTAATATTGCTTTCATGCAGAGCCGCAATGAGTTCTTGCAAACGCACATTTTCCGAACGTAAAAACACAATTGCATTGAAAAACGAATCCAACGTTATTAGTTGATTGTTTTTATTAGAATTCTCGTTGGGTTTACTAGAGGTAGCCGATTGTAACGTGGCAGCAGTAGATTAAGCAGCCTTCAATTTGTTGTAGGCTGGCCTATCACCGAAAACACTGGGCGGTGGAGGCGTAATAGAATCCCGGCGTACATCAGCACAGCTATCGCAATAAAAACTCCTTCCTGAGCTAAGTAGGAATACAAGATCGGATGAACGCATACCAACGCAATCGGTGTGGAAGAGTGCATTACCCTTCGCGCACTGCACCTTAGATTGCAGGCGATCGACTTTTTGTCCACACGAACAAGGCATTATTAATTTGAAATTAAAATATATTGATTGGATCTTTAGATCACACAAAGAGTCACTATCTCAGTTTTTAATGCTTTTTCAACATTGCAAAGGCAAGTAATTGTTTATTGTCATTTAAATCACTTTACATACGTAGATTGAAACTTAAATTGCGGAGTGAAGCAAAACACGTCCACCCTTGCCGACACTTGTTTTGTTGTTGAGTTTTGGGTAGAATTCTACAGAGAGGTCAAAGAATAGTTAATAGAGATTCCATTAGTTAGCTTGGCCACTACTTGGTTTGACCGGGAGACTTTACCTCGATGGCGCGATATCTCGATAGCTTTTAAAACTTGAAAAGCCTTGTGCAAGCTATCAGCCTGTCCAGTACTTCGCTGACGGAAGGCTGCGTTTCTCTTAAGATCCTTAGTCTTAGCTGCGTGGCTGGCGGTCATTTTGCTTGCGTCGAGCACCTCAGAATTAGCTTAAGGTGTCCAAAGCTGTAGACAATCTTACACTTCCCCTCGGAGAAGCTGACCACTTTTCAGTCTCGGCGGTACCCACCGAATGGTGGTCGAGTCCGGATTCTGGGCTGTATTTGTAGCCAGTATTACTCATTGCTGATCTAGGGTGTTTGAGCGACAACTTTGCGCGTCTCTATCTTTTGAAACTCTTTTTTATCGTTTTTACTAGTTACTACTTATGTATGAATATATTTTAGTTATTTAGGTTTAGCAGAGGCACTGTAAAAGCATAGACAGAGGGTAGCGTTGATCAGGATCAACTCGCTAATTCGGAATTATCTCGGGAATTATCTGCAGTTGATCCGGATTAAGTCCTACAGTTGATTCCCAAAATTAATTCGGATCAAGGAAATTTTCGATGACAACAGTGGCAAAAACGGCCATTGTCTTTTGCACAAGTAAGCAAACAAGCAAGCGCGTTCGGCGTCCACGCTAGCCGAGTGGTCAGAGCTGCGTGCTACAAGTCCATAGAGCCCAGGTTCGATCCTCAGTGAGAGCGATTGCCAACTTTTCTTGTGTGTTTATTATTTACTTTATTTTTTTAATATTTTTTAAAATGATATATTTTGTTTATCTTTATTTTTTGTTTTGTATTATTATATTTTACATTATTTATTTTATTATTGGTTGATTAAAATTTTTAGAACTCTATTAAAAAGTCCACAACAACCATAGTTACATAATGAAATAAAAGTAATAAATGACTAAATAAAAAAAATAAATTTATGAAAATTCTGCTGGTACACTATGGTTCAGAACTCAATTTTAATGCCAATTAAATCAAATTTCTGACATAAGCGAAAACTAAAAACCACTACTCATATATACAGTAAAATATGTAACTATTGTTAAAACAATAAAATTATATTGACGCTACCAAAGTAAAAAAATAAAGTCCATTAATCAAATATGCATTAATT